CGCCCGCCCCCGGCTCCGCGCCCCCTCCCCGCCGAGCACCGCTCCCCGCGGAAAGCCTCGGCCGCGCAAGCTGTCCGTGGGCCGGCGCCGGGCTCAGAAGGGGCTTGGGCCGTGTCCCCGGGGGGGCCCTCACCTGCTCTCCGCTCGCAGGACGCTTGCCTGCGCTGAAGACGAGGGAGGAAGGGGTGCTGTCCGAGACGCACGAGATCATCACGCACCTCAGGAAACAGGTGGGCTGGGGTCCGGCGTCTCCGGCCCTGCTGCAGCGGCTGCCCTGCGGGGCTTGCTGCTGGGGGGCTGGGAGAGGAGCCCTGGGCCAGGAGGACGCTGTTGTGAAAGTCCCAGGCAGGCCCGGGGGGTGCTTGCCCTTGCTCTGGCTGCCGGGTGGTCCTGCGGGCAGGAGAGCTGCCCGGTCCCTGGGGGTGAGGGAACCAAAGGGGATTCGGGGGCCGAGTGCTGCCAGCCCTGCCCTGCCCCATGCCCCCAGTCCGGGGCTGCACTCCCTTTGCTGTTTCTGGATGCGGGGTCTGATGTGAACATGATTTGCTTGTGGTGAAGTTGGGGGCGGGGGCTCCCTTCTCCAAGCAGACACCAAGGGCGGCCTGGCCCTGCAGCTTCACGCTCCTGGGGCTGCCCATACGTCACGCAGACCCTGGCCTGCTGTCGAACACGAGCCCACGGGCCATCCAGCCCTGGCTCACACTGCACTGTTGCCCACAGAAGTACAACGCAGACTACGATCTCTCGGCCAGGCAGGGGGCCGACGCTCTCGCTTTCATGTGCCTGCTGGAGGAGAAGCTGCTGCCGGCACTGGTGAGTCTGCGGAGCAGCATTGCTGACGTGAGGCGGGCTGGGGGGTGCTGCTGGGAGCCCAGGTCCGTGGTCGGGTACGGTGGCACGGGGAAGGTGCGCTGACAGGTCCCAGGCCAGCTAGATGGAGCCGTGGGCTGGGATGACAATGCAGTGACACGGACAGGCTGAACCTGGGGGGGCTGGGAGCCACCTCAGGCCTGCGCCAGGCAGAGAAGGCAGTCCCGGTCCTGTCCTGCTGCTCCCACCACAGATCCACACGTTCTGGGTGGACGCCAAAAACTACGTGGAGCACACACGGAAGTGGTACGCAGAAGCCATCCCCTTTCCGCTCAACTTCTTTCTGCCCAACCGCATGCACAAGCAGCGCCTGGAGCGGCTGCAGCTGCTCTGCGGGGATGACTGCCTGGAAGACGAGGAGAGGCTAGAGAAGG